GTGACCCCTCGTTATGTCCCCGAGGTCATCTCAGGTCACGAACAGAATCTAACAGTTTTTCGATGATAACTTCTGATAGAGGCGAGCTAGAGCGCTGAAAACGCCTTAGATGTGTTTGGCTCGACGTTGCGGATCGACTGATATGCAACATGACCTTTTCCGGTCAGGTCATGACCTTGACCTGAGGTCAAATTTGCAAGTTGACCTTTCAAGGTCAAATTATAGTTCATTCGACGCGTCTCGACGAGAGGAACACGATGCTGGCAAAAGTAATGTCATAGCTCTTTTGAGTCAAAGGTTATTGACTAAAAAACGTTTTTCGTAAAACGGCTATTTTTGGAGTTTTTGCCCTCTGGAGGCTAAACCGTTGACCTGAGGTCAAATCTGAGAACATTAGTCAGAAAGGTCTGTAAAAGGGCTATCGAATGCGCTTTTTTGCGGCGCTGTAGCTCTATCGGTTCCCGAGATAGCCGTTGGCAGTTTCCAAAATGTTGAAATAGTCGACATTTTACCTTTAGTGACCTCTAGTGACCTGACCTTTGACCTGACCCAAAAAATGACTGAAGTGTTTTCGTCCTTATTTTTGACGTTCTTTCGATTGCCGCTTACCGCGTGTCGCTACGTGGCCCAGGAGCCGAGTTAGAAGGGGGGTGTTCAAACACCCCCCCGCGGCCCGGCGCGGAATCTCAGCGCACCGGCCCGGCGCGGGTTAAATGGTTTTTATACACTTCATTGGTTATTCCAATAATGGGTTACTATGTGCCTCTCCACAATTGTCTTTAGGTTTCTTGCATTTGTCGACAAACACGGTTGTTTACAATCACGAGCTTTATTTTTTTGCAACTTCCTCCAGAAATTATGTCAAATTAATAGATATTCAAAACTTAATCGTACAGAAATATAGCATAATCGCATTAAATAAGCAAATATTGTATTTGCTTAAATGTATTTACCTAGTTTGCATTCGTTTATATTTATCATAAAATGTTTCACATAAAGTTCCTGAAAATACTAAGAAGAAAATCGCACCGCCGAATGGTCCTGTAAACTCTATAGATGGCCTTGCTGTAAACTGCTGAAAACAAGCGGAAAGCCGCTGTAGGAATGTCGCCCGCGACATTCCGCTTTTGCGGAATCTCGCACGCCGAATGGCCCAGTGTGCGGCCGCCTTTAGTCTCGCGAGAGCCGTACATAAGTGCACTTAAAATGTTTTGCTAGGATGCAAGTCGCGTTTGATTGATAAAGCTCAATTAGGTGGAAACGTGCTTTCTTTGCATGGGCAAGCAAAATATGTAAGTAATTAAGTGCATTTCCGTGGCCGCGCTCATATCAATACGATAAACTAATGGTATATCTTAACCTAAGGGTGGGAGGAAGACCGGCATGTCATACACAATTAACATTCAAGACAAATTTATTTGGCAAATAAAGCCAAAGTTGTGAGCAGGAAGACTACACTCGGCGTCATGCCACTCCCCGATATTCGCCTGATAGTCGCTCTTCGGTCCCTGGAGGGCCATGCAATCCTGTTTGGCCACAGTCGACTGTCCCTGGGCCCAGTTGACGTAGTCGACTCCTGCGCCGTCCACCCAGGCCCAGTCGGCGCCGCCGGGCCGCAGGCGCACCCCTCCCACCCACAGGTAGTGGGCGCCGCTCGCCGCAGTCAGTGCCTCCAGGTGTCCGTGGTTGGCCTGGCGCACCGACGCCAGCCGCGCGCGCTCGTCGATGGCGGCGCAGGCGGCCGCCGCGCCCAGCCACGAGCTGGCCGTCGGCGACACCAGGTAGCAGCTGCGTCCGTGGCTGCTCCAGCCGGCCGGGCAGGCGGGGACGGCGGCGGTCACCAGCTGCAGCTCCCCGGAGCCGGGGCCGTCCGCGGCTGCCGTCAGGTTACACACGATGTCCCGCAGACTGACCGGGCCTGAGCTGAGAGCCCCCGGCCAGAGTAACAGCAGCACAGTGGTCAGCAGACCCGTCCTGAGCGCCATGGCGGGGCGGAGCGGCCCTCACGGTACACCGCAGCCACTGCAGTGACTGCCGGGCCGCCGGGTCGGGTCTTATAGCGGGCTCAGCCGCGCCGCGCAGGGCCCCTCAGCCAGTGCAGCAGTTCTGTTTATGAGGAATGTCCAGATGAGGTCATTTGAATAAGTGATGACGGGATTTCCTGGGCAGACGTCAGGGAGATGAAGTCACGCGATGTGCACTGTGCAGTGCCCAGTGGTCTTCCGGGTATAATATTTTAACCTGCACTGGCCCGATGCTTGGTGCCAACCTCGCCGGGCCGGGGCCGGAGGAAGGGGTGTTTGAACACCCCCCCTATAACTCGGCTTCTGAGTTCTGGGTCATGTAGCGACACGAGATAAGCGGCGTTGAAAAAATACGGCAAAATTATGACGATAGTACGACGATAATTTTTTAGGTCCGGTCAAAAGTCAGGTCACCAGAGGTCATCACAGGTCAATTTTTGCCAGCCTCTACATTTTTTTTTGACAAACTGGCGCATAACTATAGAACAAATAGAGCCAAAGCACCGCGGAAAAGCGCATTCGGTGGCTCTTTTAACGTTCTTTATGTGAGTTGTTTTCAGATCTGACCTAAGATCGACGGTTTAGCCCCCAGAGGGGAAAAATCGAAAATATGTAGCCGTTTTACGAAATGTTTTTTCTATAATAACTTTTGACTCAAAATAGTTACGACATGACTTTCGCCACATCGTGTTTCCTCCTGTTGAGATGCGTCGAATGTACTATAATTTGACCCTAAATGGTCACTGAAAATTTGACCCAAGTTCAAGGCCATGGCCTGACCGAAAAAGGTCATGTAACATGTTGTATATTACTTGATCCATATCGTCGACCTGAAAAAAATATAAGGTGCTTCATTGTTCTGACATGTCTCTATCAACAAGAAGATAACACGCAACGTTGGATGACTTTTTAACTATCTTGCATATATGCACTGAAAAGTTGCGTTCTTGGGCAAGTGCTCCAAATTATAGGGGGTCGTTTTAATGAATAGGTAGGTGGGTATATCTATGCACATAATTGCTTCACATTGCAGAGCCACCATTTCGGCATCATCGTGTTCGCCATATTCAGGCACGTAAAATGATATACCTACTTAAGTTTGAAAAGAGTCAGTTTAGGATGTTGACCTCAGTTCAAGGTAACGCCAAGTCCACTCAGATCACGAACCTGGTCGTAGGAGGTCATAGTGTATAGGTATCTTTGAATAGGGCAACTCTTCCTCAGTCTATTTGTAACTTTTTGACTACCTAGATCATTTGATTTAGAGCTATTGACAAAAAAAAATTCTTATGATGTCATTATGTCGTTTTAAATGTCATCCGCAAGGTCAACGATGCAAAAGTAAGATATCGGACCTTGTAGGGAGTGCATGAAATCACGATTCCATGTGCTTCAGGTAGGTAGTTATAACTCAATTCCGGCGTCAAAGGCAGTTTTTTATTACCTTAATGACTTATTGTATAAGTCATTGACTTATATATAAGTCATATGCATCTACGGCTCTCGCGCAGATTAAGCGGTAGGTTTTGCACTTTTACATTTCCGGTTATACCGGTTATACTTTTACATTTCCGGTTTCCGGTGTGGTATCTCAGAAACTAATCAGTAATCGATCTACGATGAAGCCATTTTACACGATCATGACCGGCTTGTGAACAAACAAATCGATCGCATCTTCAACACTTAAAAGCTTAAGACGACGAAGATATAGCCTAAAGTATACTAAATTTTCTAGGTGCAAAGCCTACCGCTAAAACCCGCAGACCTGTACTTACCATGGCGAGGCCACCTGACCGATCAGACCTCAGGTGCCCATAGGCAAAATACGAGTGTACATATGTGCAAGTTGCAAGAACTTTGGAAAATTATATAGGTTTTGTGAGGTTTGCCTTCCTGTGAAAGCTGCTCTGGCACTGACGGCGTTGCGAAGTTTCGTTCAATATCCTCAGATATGGCCAGGCTCAGGTTAATTAATAGTTTGCCTCACAGAGAGCAAAGCCACCAAAATCGACAGATTTTGCTGAAACATTATATTCTATATGTTTGCGTGTGCCCTGAATCTGGTGGTTGCGGCAGTGAGTGTTTGAATTGTCATTCTTCCGATGGTTGCCAGTAGTGAGTGTAATACGGCAATAATACGACACCAAAAACGCCACTCCGTATTTTTGGCGGTCCCAGAGGTGGGTGTCTGGGTGCCGCGTTTTTGGCAGTCGCCATTGGTGGGTGCCTGTGAGTGCCGTCTTTTTGTCGGTAGCCATTGGTGAGTGCCTGTGGTTGCCGTTCTGTCGACGGTCGTCAGTGACGAGTGGGTGCCGTGTTGCTGCCGTTCTGTCGACGGTCGTCAGTGACGAGTGGGTGCCGTGTTGCTGCCGTTCTGTCGACGGTCGTCAGTGACGAGTGGGTGCCGTGTTGCTGCCGTTCTGTCGACGGTCACCAGTGACGAGTGGGTGCCGTGTTGCTGCCGTTCTGTCGACGGTCGTCAGTGACGAGTGGGTGCCGTGTTGCTGCCGTCCTGTCGACGGTCGTCAGTGACGAGTGGGTGCCGTGTTGCTGCCGTTCTGTCGACGGTCGTCAGTGACGAGTGGGTGCCGTGTTGCTGCCGTTCTGTCGACGGTCGTCAGTGACGAGTGGGTGCCGTGTTGCTGCCGTTCTGTCGACGGTCGTCAGTGACGAGTGGGTGCCGTGCTGCTGCCGTTCTGTCGACGGTCGTCAGTGACGAGTGGGTGCCGTGTTGCTGCCGTTCTGTCGACGGTCGTCAGTGGCGAGTGGGTGCCGTGTTGCTGGCTGCCTGCGGGCGCCGTGTTTTCGGCGGCGGCAGCAGTGACGTCGGCCGCGCCGGGCTGCCGTTCGGTCACTAGGTATTGACCTAGACCGTGGTCGACGGCCGACGGCAACGTCCCCACCGACGCGATCAGGTGGCGTCCGCGCGCTGTCGGCCCTCGTCGGCGCCGCGCGCCCGAGCCCCCATTCGATAACGGTGGCTCTGCCGTCGCGCCGCCGCCGACACGACTGCGCCTCCGAGATGCTGCTGAACGAGTGAAAATGCACTGATTCTGGGTGTGCGTGTGTGTGCGTGTCACTATGAAAGGTGCAGGGTATGTCGTTGTGTGAGCGCACTTTTCGGGAGGATTGCACTCTCTGCCAACATGGAATGAGGTGAGTCTATGCGCAGGCTCCAATGAAAAAACAACTCGGTCGCTGTTGTCTCCTAAATGAGCTTGCTTTATTAATAATTAAACATGTTGTTCTGACTCCCTGATTTCTAAATCGTAAGAACGTGTAAACGAGTCCAATCCCAAGAAAAGCACGCCTGCTCGGACGAATGCTGTCGAAGATATGGTCGCTGTTCCAAAACTGTTACAAAACATGTTTCTGCGATCAATACTTCACTGTTGATTTCTGCTTTTTATTGGCGGATGCCATTCATTTATCGAAATGTAACTTATGCCTCCAGTAGCTTAAAAACAAAATAACGAGAAATATGTAGGTAGACTGAAACCATTTTCGTTGATGCACATTTCTTACAGTTTTGATGTTACAGTCGGTTTGTGTTACCGAAAAAGCTTGCTCGTGTTTTATATAATCCCAGCTGATATTTGCTGTTCCTTTTTGTCGAGCTGAGCATTGATCAGCGAGCATCATTGTGATTCAGCTGAGAAAACCGGCTCGGCTGACCCAATGTGGGCGGGGCGGTCGGCTGCTCTCAGCATTGCGCGCGCACCGCCCATGACCCGAGCAGCATTTGAATCGGCGTATGTGTACCTATATGCATGCATTGCATAATAATACACACACCTAGCAACGAGCATTGCACAAAACCGTCAAACGAAAGTCTTGTCAAAACTGTATTGAAAGCAAATCTACGAAGCTTCCATGGGAATGAAGTAAGAGTGATTCATTATACGTGTAGACCATAAGCCGTCGATGTTATTTTCGGTCGGTCGGGCAACTTATGAGTTCATTCTTTTATGTCCGTTAAGGTATTCGCCCTCCGAAATGTAGATTGCTTGGAACCAGCATTCAGCTTGTTTTTACTCACAAAGTATCTTACAAGTTTCAACTTAAAATACTTCTTTATTGAAATCGCCTGGTTCTATGCATAATTTTTTATTCTTTCTTTCATTTGGAAATATCTTCCACCGTTCGATGGATTGAGAAAATAATGTATACATTTGTTTGTTCGTTTGTTTGTTTGTTTTGTTGGGTTAGGCCCTTTCGGTCTGACAAGACCATTGCAGAGCCGGAAGGATGATAGGAATTAGGGGGAGACATTGGTCTGGGCAGGCACCCTAGTGAGTCGCCGGGGCTGAGCCCGTCCAGAGGACAGGCCACCCAGCCCCAAGGCACTCACTGCACCCGGCTACGGGGTGCGCTCCCTCAGGAGCAGCGGTGCCGCTCCAAGGGAGCAGCCCGCATGAGATAAAGTTGCCTGTCCAGCCCGGAGGGGGGCTGCGGCGTGGAGGAGAAGGATTTCAGTATCCTGAGGATAGAAGCATGGAAAGGGATTTGTTCGTGTACCGCTATGTTACAGCCACTTTTGTTGATGCACTTTGATTCTCCTATCGGCCTAGCACATGAATTGTGTCATGCACGACTAAAATAAACCAAAGAGCGAGAGAAAAATAACTAAATCACCCTAACATAACTAAACTCAAAATGATTGAGCTACATGTCGATGGTTTCAATGACAAAAACGCCAATTGTCTCGAATTATTAAACGTCAATTGCAACAAATTAGTACGTTTTAACCAAACATTCTTAACTATTTTTTACCTGTCCTTTGCCTGGCATCGAATTGAAATCGATATTTCCTTTCTTCAAATTTCTAAGTGTACCTTATCCCACGACCGGCGGGGGAGGGGGCTGCATCCAAGCCCCTCTTTGTTTTTTTTTCTTGAGTTCCTTGTGAACCGCTTAAACTAGCAACGAGAAACTTATCATGATTTCTTCTTCGTCTATGTGAGTTGTTGTGTACGAGTTTTTTATGAAATTTAATCGAAAGTATTTTGAGATATATTTGCTCATCCTTATCAATATCTATTTATCATATCTTTTACTGATTACCTTGAAAGATGCTCCAACATCAGCTCTTCAAAATGGTTATCTCGTATTTTTCAACAAATATTTTGTTAATATAGAACAAATGATTTTTTTAACCCGCGCCCCGTTGGGCTCTGCCGAGCAACGCGTTGGGGGGGGGGGGCATTTTGGCCCCCCTAAGATCTCGAGAACCACGCAACCTAGCGACAAGCGGCAAACGGTGTTGGATAGCCCTATCAGGGAACTACCTTGTGACCCAATTTTATTGACCTAGGTCAAACCGATGACGTCACAGGTCAGGTCAAAGGTCCAATTTTCACCGTTTACAGGCATTTCAAGAAATGCGTTGTTAAATCGAGTAAAATGCATTTCATTGAAAATCATCGATGAGGAAATGTTCTTCAAACACATATTTTGCTATTTGAGGTCACTGATACCAGGTCAGGTCACAGAGGTCAGGTCACTGGGGGGTCACAATATGAAAGTGTCGTGTGATACATGTTTTATGGTCCATTTCACATGACAAATGCGATTATGTGGGTCAGGCAGCCTTTGGGGCCAGCTTAGGTCACGTTTTGGTCAAGGTCAGGTCAAGGTCAGGTCAAGGTCAGGTCAAATTAGGTCAAATTTCAAAGTTAATAGTTTTGCATAAAATGGGTATCGAATCGACGCAACTCGTCACGGGGAGTTCAATGGTGCTCTTTGTTTTGCCGTACGTGGTCTAGAATCGCTACAAATTGAGTTCAAAGATTTGACGTCATCATTTTTGAACAGTTTTTTCGCTATAACTTGGCCAAAAGACGAGATATCGATCTGAAATTTGGTATGTATATAGAAGAGCGCAGGGACTGACATATATTCCGGTTTTTTTTCGAAATTCGGAAAAAAATTTGTATTTTTTTTAGTTTTTCAAAAAATCAATCTTTCGAATTTTTTTGGGTCAAAAACCCAAAATTTTGAAAATCCGAGATAGCAGTTTTGTAGCGCCGCTTTTTGTCTACTAGACCATATAAAGAACTTTGAAATTGCTTGATAACTGTAGATTTGGTGAGCGTTTCAAGATTGCATGTTTTTTGCTCATTTTTGCTCGAACATGACCTCAGTTTTACCTCAATAACTCCCTACCTAAGATGACCTAAGACTTGAAATTTGGTGTGAAGGTGTCAAATTGATGCCCGGGAAGGTACTGAAAATTTGGCGGCGTTGCGCGCCGCCGTTTTCTTGCTATTCAGGAAAAACCACAGGGGGGGGCAAAATGGCCCCCCAACGGGGCGAGGGTTTTAACCCGGCACCGCCTGGGCTATTTCCGTACCCACGACAGCCTGGGGGGGGGGGTCGGATCCGACCCCCCCCTGTTATCTCGAGAACCAATGGTCGTATCGAGCCCCGCGAGGCGGCGTTCGAAAGGTCTCTACGAGACCTTCTCAAAGCACTCTTAAGATTTTAAGATTGAGGTCAACTTTCGGGTCAAGGTCAGGTCAAAGGTCAAATTCAGGGGTTTTGCATGAATCGGCTTACGGACAGCGGAATCGATAGCTGCTGCTCGAAACTCACCAAAAATGACCTCAAAGGCCTAGTGAAGGTACCATGTGCGTATAGGGGTCATACTAGGTACAGGTCAAGGTCAGGTCAGGTCACGAAAGGTCACGGTTTTCACTTTCTGCTACATGGGCGTGCGACACATGTTTTATGGCTTATTTTTCACGCCGAATCCGATGGTAATGGTTATATGTGACCCCAAGTCACTGTGCTGGTGATAAGTGTGCATTGAAAGCATAAAAAATCGTTTATACTATACATAACTAAACGAGGGCTAAGAAAAAAAGTCAATTTTTCAACTTTTTATTTTTGACATAAAAATACACTTTTCTAGACGAGCTTTGTCCCAGGAATCTAGTGGTGCCATTTGTTTTCACATACGATGTTCAGAAGTGCCTCTAATTCACGAAAATGCTTATGACGTCACCATGCCCTATGCATGTTGGAGCTATTTTTTACAATTTGGGGGTCAAAAATCAAGATAGAAAGTTGAAATTTGGGGCATCTAATGTTCTAATAGAGCTCTACAACATATATTCCGGTTTTTTGGAAATTTCCAAAATTTTGGATTTTATTAGCTGTTTTCCAAAAAATATAGTTTTTTGAATTTTTAGGGGTGAAAAACGCATTTTATGGAAAATCCGAGATAGCCATTTTAAAGAACTCGTTGAGCTGCGTCTTTTGATGTCCTTAATTTGCAATTTGCTTCAAACCCTGATTTTTGGCGATTTTTTAAACATTTACCACTTTTTGACTAAAAACGCCATGTAGTTACATCACTAAAATCGATATATCTCAAAAAATTTTGGAAATTTTTTCTTAAAAATTGCACTGGAGACGTCAAATTGATGGGGGAGAAGGTATGCCAAGTTTCAAGTAGATAGCGAAAGTGGTTCGTGAGTTATTCAAGAAAAACAGAGGGGGGGGGTCGGATCCGACCCCCCCCCAGGCGGTCGCGGGTTAAGACCTGAAATATGTTGGAACACTCCCTACCCCTTTTGTTTGCTCCATTGTATTATTCATTATGAAGTTTACTTGAGTTTCATAATGGATAAGTAGTAAATCAAAATTTCATAACGCAAGGACATCACCTGTGCATCTTTTCAGCTTTCTTTCATGATTTATGACCCTCGAATGGTAAAAAATGTCTCCAGCACATGTGTTTGTCACCATGTTGTCATGCATAGCTACATGTATTTACATATTCTGGTATGTTTAGACATCGGGCCTATATGAGCCTGAGAGTCCTATGACCGTTGGATCTGGCGTGAGAACCACCCCTAAGTCATGTGTCACATACTGACGTAAAGGTACCTCTTCGTGGCCTGACCTAACCTGACCTAACCTTGACCTCGAATTGATGCTTGTATGTATGTACGTACTTACAAGTAAGATCAGGACGAAGAATAACCACTACCATCAAAATAAGCGCAAAATCCATCCCTAAGAAGGCATCATCGCTACCTTCGTTGATGGTTGTCTCAAAGTGACCTTTGGTGACCTGACCTAAACCCGTGCTTAGAATAGCCCTTACGCTCGCAGGGCGTTTTCACTAAGCTTTTGAGATCACTTTGGCCGAGACTTAGGCAGAAAATACGGATTCCATCGTTACAAGCCTCGTCATTCATTACATGTGTACCCCAATATCTGACCTTTGACCTGATACTGACCCGAAAGCTGACCAGCTCAATCTGGAAATATTAAGGGCGTTTTGGGAAGGTCTCGTGAAGAGCTTTCAAAGGCCGCATCGCGGAGGGCTCGATACGACCATTGGTTCTCGAGACAGCTGGGAGGGGAGAGAGAAGGGGGGGGGTCGGGATCCAATGCCTCCTCAGGCGGTCGTGGGCACGATCTTAGCGCCTTGGGTACGGAAATAGCCACGCTGTGCCGGGTTATTGCTGCAATATATGTGTAATATGATTAATATGAGCTAGCGATTCGGGGAGTACTTAATGAACTCAGGAAGACCTGCCGAATTGAATAGTTAGCGATATGACCTCCTTCTACCAGCTTCATCACCTTGTGGCTTTTACCAAGCCTTGACCTGAGGTCAGCACCTTAAGGCAACCTAGCTAAATTAAAAGTAGGTGCCTATCATTTGGTCACGTAGAACGCGATGGAGCCAAAATTGCGGGTCTACGACAATTTTGGAGATGTTATTCACAAAAAGGACCTCCCACCTTGGGGCAATTGACCTGACCTCAGAGGTCACCAGCTGACCTGAACCTTAAAATTGTATGCTCGTCGCTGCGTCTCGTAATGGCGCACACGCTCGTATTTTTACGCGAGGCTCTGGCTCAATAAGGAGCGAGATAGCGAGGGGGTTCATGGGGCAACATTTGCACACAATCGAGTTTAATATGCCGAAAAGAACCATGGGCACAAAGCTGCCTAGCGCTTTGGTACTGGCTATCATATGGCTTTTGAAAAGAGCTGATGTTCCCTGACCTCCAAACCCATCTCAGAGGGATTAGCCAGGACAATATCGGGCTAAGTTACAATTATTGGTCATATCTCGTCCAGCCAAACCTTGGAGCGAGTCGCTGAGGTGGCTGAGTGCGGCAAGATGCAGAGGCGATTGCAGGAATTTCACCGATTTCAACATTTTTTCTGTAGGATTTCACCTGCGATAGGGTTACTGTCGTGAGCGCCAGACTTGTGCCTCGACCAAAAATCAAGATCCAAGATCCGCAAGATCCCACACAATTTCAGAATTTCAGGATCCAAGATTTCCAAGATCCCACACAAAATCATTTTGCAAGATCCAAGATCTCCAGGATCCCACGCAAATTCAAGATTTCAGGGTCCAAGATCCACAAGATCCCGCGCAAGATCAGACTTCCAGGATCCAAGATCCCCAAGATCCCATGCAATATCAAAATTGTAGAATTCAAGATCCCCAAGATCCAACGCACAATCATAATTTTAGGATGATTCATCTGTGATTTGCAACAGCAGACTGCAACTTACTCAGTGCCTACTAGCCCCATGGAGAAGCACTAAATGGACATGTACAATAATTGTAGGTACATTGTACATGCTAGTGATGTAAATCTCAGAAATGTTTTATGTACCTACATGTTTGTGATGTAAATTTCAGAAATTTTCGAAACCAATGCCAAACTGATCCCGACCAATTTTTATATCTATCATTGATATATAGCAAGCTCTGCTAGCGACACCATACGACGTCAGCTGGCAAATAATCCAGTTAATATTACGGCGCACAAAGTCTAAGTTGTGTTTATGCTGATATATACTTTGAAGCCTTGAGCACCTTAGTTATTAGGGTATGTCCTCCTTCCAGTATAAAGTGATTTTAACAGTTGTACTGTACATGCTAATGTTTTGCACATTGGTTTTCCTAGCTAGATATTCATCGTCAGATTTGATTTGCTAGCAATAGATAGGTTTAGTAGGCATTTAATCATGATAGACTCATGTGTAGAATATTCCTGTTAAAAAACAGGATCCAAGATCCCCAGGATCCCTCGACAAATCCAAAACCAGGATCCAAGATCCCCAAGATCCCTCGACAAAATAAAAAGCCAGGATCCTAGATCCCCAGGATCCCTCCACAAAATGATGACCAGAGTCCTGGATCCCCAAGATTCCTCGGCAAAACCTGAAGTGCTGGATCCAAGATCCCTCAAGATCCCGGATCTTGGATCTTGCAGATCCTGGATCTCGGATCTTTTTGGGATCTTGGCACAAGTCTGGTGAGCGCATTGGGGGCAGAAAAAAACGTGTTAACGTCCTCCTTTTTACCGTGACACAGAGAGATCAGCTTTTGAAAAAGAATAAAAAATCATAAATAGTGAATTATTTCATTGGTCAGGTCAACGGTCATCACTAGAGGCCTCAAGCGTCAAGTTTTTTTTTGCGAAATAGAACATGACAGGAAAAACGTTCTATAGTTCTTACAGCTTTTTGCTGCTGCATCCTCAGATTCGACCGGAAATCAACGGTCATCAACGGTCGTTGATTTTTGGCCAAATCTGAGAATGCAAAAGTGAAAAGATGCAAGAGCTATAGAACGCTTTTTTCCTGCCATGTTCCAGCCATGTCCTGAGACCTGAGTTGACGCTTTGTGGATAATTTCTCTTATGTCTATAATTACATCGATGTCACAGCGTCTTTCCATGTCCAATTTATCCATGTCCATATTGCTTGCTATCCTTACCTACCTTGTCCGCACCTTGCCATGCATCGGTGTCTGGTACAATTCATCTGACCGTCTCGTCTGACCTGTTCTGTTCTGTGCGCCTCTGTCCTGTGTGTCTGACCTGACCTGTGCGCCTCTGTTGCAGCCGATGCGGTCGCGACCGGGTGACGGTGGGGCCGGGGGGTCGGGGTCGGGGTCGGCGTCAACCGACCCGACCGGCGCCGACCGCGCCCCCCTACACAATAATTCGAAAGAGAAGAAAACGGAAAGCCCGTCGTCGCGCCGTGGCTGCTGCCTCTGCTGGTGCTGTTGCTGCACTTGTACCAGGTCAGGGCAAGTGGGGCAATGGGAGATGTTATCCTTATCTACCGCATGTCGTATACTGCAAGGAGGGATTCAATGGTGGGGAATTTGGGGCATTTGCCTCTCTCTCGCAGCTCGTAAAATATGCTGAGTGTTACTCTTTTCTCGCATTTAACCCGCGCCGGGCTGGGGGATGTTTGAACACTCCCCTGCGGTTTTTGGCACACCTGTTTGTGCATCTTTTTTCGCACATGTTGTGAAAATTTCAGACCCAGGTCGCTCACGGTCAGGTCACCAGGTCACGCTAAGTGACCTCACCTCAGAAAAAAAAAAAATTAGAATGCTCGTCATAGCTACACCGACTGAACGATTGCCTTGAAACTTTCAGCGATTGATAAGACTAACAGTATATACAAAACTTATATCTCGGAAGTTTGATATCGGTGACCTAAGGTCAGGTCAATTTTGCGACCTCTCCATTAATATTTTGAAAAAGTGTCTCTTTTGCACGAACGCCATTCTAGACACTCACATCGGGATGCAGGTAAAATTGACACACTGAACCGGAAAATGGCACCTGTGACTCCTCGTTATGTCCCCGAGGTCATCTAAGGTCACGAATACCTATCTAACAGTTTTTCGTTAATAACTTCTGATAGAGGCATGCTAGAGCGATGAAAACGCCTTAGATGTGTTCGGCTCGACGATGGGGATCGACTGATATGCAACATGGCCTTTTCCGGTCAGGTCATGACTTTGACCTGAGGTCAAATTTTCAAGCTGACATTTCAAGGTTGAATCATTGTTCATTCGAAGCGTCTCGACGAGAGGAACACGATGCTGGCAAAAGTAATGTCGTGGCTCTTTTGAGTCAAAAGTTATTGCCCAAAAAACACGTTCCGTAAGAACGGCTATTTTTGGATTTTTTGCCCTCTGGAGGCTTAACAGTGGACCTGAGGTCAAATCTGAGGACACGCAGGCGAAAGAGCGTTAAAAGAGCTATCGAATGCACTTTTCTGCGGCGCTGTAGCTCTATCGGCTCCCGAGTTAGCCGTTGGCAGTTTCTAAAATGTTGAAATAGCCAACATTTTACTTTTGGTAACCTCTGGTGACCTGACTTTTGACCTGACCCAAAAATTGACCGATGTGTATTCGTCCTTATTTTGGACGTTTTTTCGATTGCCGCTTACTGCGTGTCGCTACGTGGCCCAGGAGCCGAGTTAGAAGGGTGGTGTTCAGACCCCCTCCGCGGCCCGGCGCGGAAGTCTCGGAGCACTGGCCCGGCGCGGGTTATGGAATACCTACTAAAAAGTTTAGAAGTGCACAGCAAGGCATAAGATCGAGGAGTTTTTGGAAATTAGAACCCTTGTTGAGGAGCGTGCCTGCCCCAACCCCAGAGCGTCTGAATCTTTTTATCTGGATCCGTCATGTGTACAGTCACCAGCACTTGCTACCCATCACCCCCGGACGGCGGGGGAGCAAGCTACCACCGCCCTTGCGAGACTAGCGCCGCCATGCGCCAAGAAGTGGAAACACCACGTGACTGAGGCCACGTGAGGGCAGGGTCACGTGATGGAGGGGCGGAGCATAGCAGCTTTTGCGCCCGACACTAACTGAAATGCGGCGCTGTGATTGGGCGCCTTAGCATGAATGAAGCCCCGGCGCCAGAATCAGCCGTTCGCCTTATATGGAAGGTTAGCCTGTGCGTTTCACCGTTCTGTGTTGGTTTGAGAGCCACGGCACCATACGAATTGTGAGCCCCTTTGAACGGGTCACCGCCCGAGGCACTGAGGCGACGGCTGTGCGGGCTGTGCCGGGCAAAACCTAGCCTGGTGGGAGAGGTGGGCCAGGGAAAGTGCGATCGAGCAGCCACACTGGGACGTGGATTGGTATTATCTAACCGCGACAAACGATGTCAGCAGCCTCTTCTCGTTGACACAAAAAGTTTGACAGACAACGTGGGCAGTGCCCAATTAAAAGCTACTAAACGATTCAGTTAAGAATTTGGCGAGATAACCAGACCCAATAAAAAGTTTTTAATTCGATTTTGATTGACAAATGACACACAAGCCCGCTGTGATGGACCAAAAAAAGGAGCTGAACAGTTCATACAACTTCTAAAAAGCTCAACGGTAAAAATTCTAAAGTCAAATGTTAAAATTCAGCCTACATGTTTAAGCTCGGGTCCGGCGCTGGCAGAAAGCTTATATTGCCACTTGCAATTCCACAACGTTGTGATATAACCAAGAGTTATGTGAGAGCAACAACTGAAAGCCTCGAGCCCCGTTGGGGGGGAGGGGGGGCGCGAAACAGCCCCCTCTCCTTTTCAGTCCATATCTCCTAAAGTATAGCGTAGGTCGCCAGTGCCACCAAACTTTCAAGACCCATCCGGGCATCATTTTTACACCTTGTGACCAAATTTTTCCAGAGCTCTTATAAAAGGCTAGTCACAAATGACGTCAGAGTGACGTCATGTTCTGTCATTTTCGACCCAATAAAAGGTTTAGCGGGAAGAGCTGTCACGCTTACAGTTTTGAAGATAACAACAAATATTTAAGATGAAAAAAAGATGTAAAATAAACAGCACCACAAAACTGTTAACTCTGATTTCTAAACAAAAATTTAGTTCGACCATCAAAACTATAGAAGTATAACACCCCGAAAATACCAACAACATTCAAAATTAAAGCTGGAATTTTTAGAGTTTTTTTGCGGCGTTGTAGGTATGTTATAGAACTATCTGCTCTAGATATGCCAAACTTAAACTCGATAGCTCCATTTTTAGCAATGTTATGGCAAAAAAACACTACTCAAAATGTATTACGTAAATTTTTCAAACTCAATTTTTAGCCGTCACAGAACACACAGAGCAAGCCAAAGACCACCATTGGATTTCCCGTGATGAGCTGCATCGAATAGATACCCCTTTTATGCAAAATATAAACTCTGAAATTTAACCTTTTCTGACCTGACCTTGACCTGACCTCCACCAGAACGCAATCTTAACCGGCCCCAATGGCCGTCTAGCCCACACCATTGAATTTTAAATGTAAAATTGACCATAAAACATGTATCACGTGACCCTAGCAATTAGCATAGTTGGGTTCATATTGTGACGCTTAGTGACCTGACCTCTGTGACCTGACCTGGCATCAGTGACCTCTTTAGGCAACATATGTATTGGGCAACCACGCTCCATCGATTTTTTCGATATCATGCCTTTTATTTGATGTGTTAACTGACTGTAACGCATTCCTTAGACTAAATCGGTGAAAAAATGCAACATTTGACCTGACCTGTGACATCATGGGTTGCACCTAGGTCAACGAAACCTGGCAACAAGGTAGTTCCCTGGTGGGGCTATCGAACGTTCTTCGAACTTTCAAAATCGGTCGGTAACTTTCCGAGATCTCAGGTGGAGGACGAAACGGCTGCACCACCCCATCAGGTGGTAGGGTCCGCCAATAACACAACGGAGCGCGAATTATTTACTCATTCATACAGTGTCATCTATTTTGAGAACACCTTTCTCACGCCCTGACATGGTCCTCTCGTAATAGATCGAGATGAGGAGAGTGCTTTCACGCCTCCTTATGCACGGCTCTGGTGTCATTGAGCTATCAACTGTCAGCGGTTTTCGGACAATGAAGGAAGGCTTTTGGTCGTTTTTAGGTAAGGTCTTGGGTCAGATCATTTCAGTGGCGGATCTAGAGGGGGGGGGGCATGGGGGCCATTCTCCCCCCTTGGGTCTCCCGGGGCCCATCACGGAGTTTTTTTTTTAATTCATCACGGAGGTCACCGACGGGAGCTTTAACCCAGAGGTCTCCTAAGGGGGCACCATCCAGGTCTATCGGAATAGGGTACCGTTTTCGGGGTCTCCCGGAGGCCCATTTCTGTCCCTCGCCTCGAGTTTTTTAGTTACCTTTCGTTTTTTTTTTAGTTTTTAGTTTAATGTTGTCCATTTATTTCCATCCCGAGGTCCGCAGGGCACCATCTCGAGTTCTCAGCTGGTACTATCCCGAGTTCTCCGCGAGCACCATCCCAAGGTCGGAGAGGGCACCATCTTGAGGGTCCGGGGCACCATCCCGAGGTCTCCGGTGGCACCATCGCGAGGTCTGGGGGCACCATCTCGAAGTCTCCGGGGGCACCATTCCAAGTTTCCAGCGGCACTTTTCCGAAATCCGAGGTCTGAAGGAGCACTCTCCCCGGGTCTGAGGGGGCACCATCTCGAAGTCTCAGGGGCACCATCCCGAGGTCTCAGGGGCACCATCCCGAGGTCTCAGGGGCCGTTTGATCCGCACCGTCCTGGGGGAGTTTTTACGCCCCCCCCCCCTAGGTTTTTCGCGAATATCTAAAAAACGGCGACGCGTAGCGCCGCTGTTTTAGATACACCCGCTCCGACATCTTTTTCGCACATGCTATGAAAATTTCAGATCCCGGTCATTCAAGGTCAGGTCAGTGGGTAACGTTAAGTGACCTTACCTCAGAAAAAGTTAGAAAGCTCGCTGTGGCTACACCGACTGAGCGATCACTTTTAAACTTTCAGTACTTCTTTTGGCCGAATGTCGTTCTACACCCTCTCAAACATCGGTTCATATGTAAACATGACACTCTGAATCGGGAAATTGCACCTGTGCCCCCTTTGTGTGCCCCTGAGGTCATCTCAGGTCATGAAAGGTCTTCAGCAGTTTTTTTTTACTATAACTTTTGATTTGACAGAGACGTGCTAGAGCGCTGAAAGCACGGGGACTAAACCGTTGATCTGAGGTCAAATTTGAAGTCAATCAGAGCGGTGCCCTCTGGGGGCTAAACCGTTGATCTGAGGTCAAATTTGAAGTCAATCAGAGCGGTGCCCTCTGGGGGCTAAACCGTTGATCTGAGGTCAAATTTGAGGATATGTTGGCGAAAGAGCGTTAAAAGAGCTATCGAATGCGCTTTTCCACGGCGCTGTAGCTCTATTGGTTCCAGAGTTAGTCGTCGGGTGTTTAAAATCGTTGAAATCGACAAAATTTGACCTTTGATGA